GAAAAATAAGTTATACTACGAAAGAAAAGATTCGAACAGACCATAGAAACAGAGAAAAAAGTCTATTCCATATTAAAAATTTCAATACAAGTAATAGATGAAAAAAAGATAAATTCGTAATGATCAAACGAGGGACGATGAACGTGGGGATAAAATAGTAAGGCATTGCAAAATATAGAGTATACTAAGACGAGTGCAAGACGAATAGATAGAAAATAAAGTGAATTGAGATCATGGTAGCTAGTTGATTAATGTCCAAATGACACAAATAAAGACTGGAGAGTGGAGGATAAGAATAAGGAAATAAAATACGCCATGGAAAAGTACACTACTAAATGATTTTTGTAATGGAAATTACCTAATGGAATATATTCAAGCATTAATTGAGGCGTATGTATGAGTGAGATACTAAATTATTTTCGTACACACTTAGACCTCAAAATTTTGGAGACAAGGTCTGAAGTGACTGTCCAAACAGGTATCTAAATAAGGAAGAATTATGAAATGCCGAGAAAAATAAGCAGAGAAAAATCTAAGAAATTCACTTTGAAAAGAGAGCACAGTTCAGATGAGAGTAGTCATGCAATTGTGCCGTTTAATCAAAGGTGAGACTAGGAAGAGTAAAAGACCAAGAAATATCAGAACAAAAATGGAAGAAACTAAGAGCGTTCATGTGGATGTTAGGAGCTTAAGTATTTTAGAAAATCAGCTGCATTATAACTCATTACCTTCATTTCGTGCTACAGTGGCAAGGCCAAAACTACAAGAAATCTCGCAAAGTATCGAAGGCATTCAAATTTGAGGCAAGCATGACAGCTAATACGAGAATAAGTATGGAAATAGATCAAAGGAAGTTGCAAATGGGTAAATTAGTAATCTCATTTGGCTATTTACAATAGCCATAATCCCCGATCCTCAAAGAGTCAGAGAAGCGTAGATGCATAGAAATAAACTCAAGCATGCACAAATGGCAAGAACGCCTGTTTTATTGAGGGAAGAAAATGAATGTGATTAAGTGGCTTGCTTCAGGCCTATCCCAGAATGGACAGCAGAGCAAGGATTGTGGTCAACAGCATAGACATCTGTATTATCGACTTTTCCAGCCAAGACAGCGACTTCATTGTCGGTGCTGCCATTATCATCTTTGCCACCGATTATAACTGGGCTGTTTTTATGCGAAATACGCTGGCTCCAAGCACCAGTAGCTCTCGTAGTCATCGGAATATTGAGTTGACAATCTACATCAGCATCAGCTGCGGCAGAATTTTCCAGAGAGATGCCATTAGTGATTTTTGCAGGTGCCAGGTCGCGCGACAGCTCGATTGATGAGTTTGGCCAGGAGGGGCCAGCAGCTCGACCACGACCGCGGCCGCGGCCCCGACCACGATCTCCATCTAAATCTAAAGTAGAATCAGCGAAACCGGAGCTACGGCTCCATGGGGCACCAACCAATACTCGACCAGATGAACGACCTCTACCAGAGCTTAAGCTGCCGCGACCTCCAGGAGCTGCAGATTGTTCAGCTTCATATTCATTTGCATTTGAAGTTACGCGACGCACCTCCTCGCGAGAAAGCTGTTGATGTGAAATACAAGTAACCACTAAGCACCAATAGCATAAGAACAAAATATCCATCAACTCTCATTTTTATTATAATTATTTTCCATCACTGCTGATATTAGTAGCATAAATATCGGTCCCATCAATAAGAAGTGGGAGCATTAGTAATGGAGGGCAGTGAAAATTGGTAGTGAAATCTTGCATCGATAATAAAAAATTGATGAAGACCTTGTACACCTTATCACCTTAAACGAAATAGGACGAATGCACTCCATAGATAGTGCATTATGATTGAAGAATATTTAAAGAAAGTATGGCATAAGGAATCATAACTTTATTCTGTAGACTACGAATAAGACTTTGGGGGTATTAAAGCAAAGTGGCCTATATTTTAGTGACATTTTCATTTTGCCATATAAGAGTGGTTTGACCTCATTTTGCCAACTTGGCGGCGCTATGAACTTGGTACCAAGTCTGCATTCAGATGGTGAAAATTATGATGATTACTATCGCGAAGAACGTCGGATAAGGTGTGCTCACTGAAATCCTATAAACAGGACTAAATTGCGCAGAGATCAAACAGCTCCAAAGAATAAGACAACCTTGTATTATATTAGGTCTCGACATCCGCATATTATCATGAATAGAAGATCCCGATAAAATTAATAAAAAAACATTCGTTCGTTTCTGAGATACAGGTGTCCATTTTAGTATACTCGGCTGAAAAAGAAAGACTAACCAGATCATTAGCCCGATTGATAA